TTTTTTTTTTTTAAAGATTTATTTATTATGTATACAGTGTTCCACATCCATGTATGCTTGCAGGCCAGAAGCAGGTACCAGGTCTTATGATAGATGATTGTGAGCCATGCTGGGAGTTGAACTCAGGACCTCTGGAAGAACAGCCAGTGCTCTTAACCTCTGAGCCATCTCTCCAGCCAAATAGCTACTCTTAACACAGCTTTGTTCTTTCTCCTGTATGCGTTCTCGGGTAAAATAAGCATTTTTTTTTAAGCTTAAATTCTTTTTTAACATGTGTTCACGCACGTGTGCACTTGTGCAGATGCTGACATGAGAACTGGAAGTCAGATGCCCTGGAGCTAGAATACAGGTGGCAATGAGCTCCTGTTGAATACTGGGAACTAAACTTAGGACCTCTGCAAAAACAGCAATTGTCCTTAACCACTGAGCTGTCTCTCTTGATTTATATCTTTATTGTATTTAATTGAGTCTGTGAGGGATATGTGCATGTGAGTGTGGATATACATGGAAGCCAGATAGGCTGGGTCCCTCTGGAACTGAGTTACAGGAAGCTGTGACATGCCCAACATGGGTGCCAGACTAGGAACCAAACTCAAGTCCTCTGCAAAAAGCAGTAGTCACTGTTAACCACTAGGCCATCTCTCCAGCTTCATAGGTGATTAAATATTACCAAGCTGGGTATGGCAGCACACACTTGCATTCAGTGTGTGAGTGCTACAGTCTGTGTGTGGAGGTCAGAGGACACTTGGGAGGAGCCAGTTCTTTGACAGACCTCAGGTTCTAAGGCTTGGTGGAAACGTACCTTTGCCAGCTGAGCCACCCCGCTGGCCTCATAGCAGCACACTTGTAGTCTCAGCATGGTGGAAAAGGCAGGAGGGTCACTAAGGTCATAAGCTCAAGGCCCAACAGCCTAGGCTGCATGAAACCCTGTCCAACATTAACAGCAACAAAAACAAAGAATCACACGCAGTGCTGCCTAGTTATACAAAACGGGGTGCCATCTCAAGTGCACAGACAACACTCTCACGTTGGCCAGGAATCTCCAGACTGAGGTTTGGCCTGGGTCCTGGCTTTTACACCCTCATCAATGTGGGTCAGAATTCTCTACACATCTCCACTTTTCAAGACTGATACTGTCTTTCACAGCTCAGATGTCAAATTTCTCCCAATTGACTGCTTTTTCAGGTTCATCTCTGGAAGCAGGGTCTTACTGTCAGCCAGGCTGGCCCATATGTATCACCAGGTATGGCTAGAGGCTTGCTTCTCAAAACCACAGTGCTCCTATCTGAAGCTACCCATCCCACCCATGCTGCTTTACTAGATGGTAGAAAATGCTGCTCAACCCCAGAGAGCTTGCCAAGAAAGTCAAGTGTCACTGGGTGCCTTGGCCAGCATCTGAATAGTCTCAAGTGGCTCATTGCAGGGCATCCTACAAACGATGGGCTGGACTAACACAGGGGACTTTCAGCTTCCCAGTCTCACAGACCTTCTTACCATGTAAGGCTGTTTGGCTTACCTCTGTGTATGAATGGCTGTGCTCACTGTTGCTGATGTACATGCACACGTGTTTGTGTGAACGGCTGTGCCTTTACATGTATGTAAAGGCCAGAGGTTGGCATCTAGGGTCTTCTTCAGCTTCTCTTCACTTTTTTCACTTTTTTCGAGATAGTTTTATTCCATAACCCTAGATGGCCCGTTATTAATTATGTAGCCCAGGCTAACCATTAGTGGAAGACAACAGCCTTATATACAAACAAAATTCAAAGGCTTTTAGATTGAAATTAACTTAATACTAATCTATTCCAGTTGCCTGCATGTTAGGCTTATAGGTATGTACCACCATACCTGGCTTTGGGCTTACTTATTACAAAGCTCTCCTCTCCCTGTCTAGCCTCAAAGTGGCAGATGGACTGGAGGATAAATGTGAAGCTCTCAACTATCTCAGAGGACTCTCCTTCCCCAGTGATACTTAAAAATATTAGCCAGGTTGTGCCACTGTCACCTTGGCTGGACTGAAGAAAAAGGGTGGATGATCTCCAGGCAGTACTCCAAGCAAGTAAGAGGTGTCTCCAATGGCAGCCACAAGAGACACTCACCTGTCAGGGAGAGCCTGGGAACAACTTGAAATAATGGTGTGAGGAAGGGAAGGGAAGGGAAGGGAAGGAGAGGGGAGGGGAGGGGAGGGGAGGGGAAGGGAAGGATGGGAAGGGAGCAGCCTTGATCCGGTTTGATGTGTCCAGGGGAGCCTGTGCAAGGGGACTCGGGTCAATTGCAGACCTCTCAGGGCAGATCAGATGCTCATGTGTTGACACAGTCTTGGAATGAGGTCAGTGAGCAGCAACATGTCCAGCTGAGAACAATGAGTCTAGCTGGTGCTACTTGTGGGTCCTGGGGAGCTGCTGGTCCTGTGATATGTTTATTAATTTTTCTGAAAATGTGCTGTGGCCGGCCTAGTTTTCCTTAATGCCTAATAAAGGGGAAAACTGTTTACATTGCACCCTTGGGCTTGACACTGAGCAGCTGAAGTTAGCAAGATCCTTCACTTTCAAAGATTACACAAACCAGCAGCCTGGAAAGAAAACAATTCCTTTAGAAGTATGCCATTCTCAGGTGCAAGTGATGGCAACTGAACACTATGTGAAATAAGACAAAATGGGGGTAAGAAGGGATCAGAGCTGAGGTGGGGAGAGCCCACACTGCAGACTTGGCTTCTGGGGCTTGTATAATGGGTTCAGGATAAATAGGGAAGGTGCTAGCAATTCCTGTGCACTTCTTACAGTCCAGATGTTTCTATATATAAACCCTGCCTGTTTAGCACTCCCCTTGAGGGACATCAGAAGCCCAAGCAAAGGGGCAGCATTTCTGTAACCTCCTGCTTCTACTCCGTAGGTCTCATTCCCATTTCTTGCTTAAGTGAGAGCTATACTTTTCCATCAAAGGACTTATCATCAAGGTAGTTTTTTTTTCTTTCCAGTTTCCACTGTCTGGTAAGGCACTTTGTGGTTACTTTAATAGGCTCACCCTTCTGACTTCCAGATGAAACTGCCCTGTATGTATGCATGCAACTGATGATAGGTAATCTGCTAGAAGACAGGATCTAAGGTAAGGCTACAAGCAGAGGTGCCCTGTGTGCTGGGAACCACCCCAGTGTTATATATTATAGCTCCTAGTTTTCTTTGGACTAAAGTGATTATCTCTTTTAGTTAGAAACCAAAGCTTAGCAGTTAGTTTATTCAGCAGCTAAGCAATGAAGGGAAGGCTTGAACTCACAACCACGGTGCTACCAAAGCTGTTCTGGGTGACCAAGGTGAGGGAATTTCCTCATTTGGGAAGTAGCTGGTAGTGTCCTACTTACCACAGAGCACTACAGGGCTCCTGTCTAAGAATTGTCATTTATTTACTTGCCTTCTCTTTTCCAGTACAACGTCCAGAAGTGAAGGTAAATGTTAGCAGTGAAGCCCTGTTGTCTATCAGAAAGCTAGATCAAACAATAATAAATTCAAGTTTTAATTTTTTTACGATTTATTCCTTTTCATGTACATACTGACATTTCACCTGCATGCATGTCTGTGTGAGGGCATCAGATCCCCTAGGACTGGAGTTACAGACAGTTATATGCTGCCTTGTGAGTGCTGGGAATTGAACCTGGGTCCTCTGAAAGAACAGCCAGTGCTCAACTGCTGAGCCATTTCTCCAACCCGTATTTACTTTATTCTATGTGTTTTGCCTATATGGATGTCTGTGCAGCACATGCATGCCGTGCCCATAGGACCAGAAGAGGGCATTGGCTCCTTTGGAACTGGGGTTACAGACAGGTGTGAGCCACCATGCATATCTGAAAACTAAGACTGAGTCCCCTGAAGGAGCAGCCAGTGTTCTTAAACTAAGCCATCTCTCCAGGCCCAAATCCTGGCTTTTGGATCATGGATGCATTACTGACATCTTCCAAAACAACTCTCTTGTCTACAGACAGGCCTAATGCCACCTGTCTGTGGGAGTGCTGCGAGGTTTCCCCACTTCCTCCCCTGACCAGGAAATTCTTTTTCCTCTTTGCCTATAGCTCTTGTAGTTACCAACCTCATGTTTATCAGTTCTGGCCTGCTTCCCTCTAGCCATCACTTTCACATTCCAGCCAGAGCGACTGCCTCTCCTCAGCTGAGAGCAGAGCTCCCAGAGAGAATACCTTGTGCAATGGCCAGCCCTCCCAGCTACTTCATTCTAACACAGTGGTCCAGGCTGGCCTCAAATTCACTACATAGCCCAGGCTGGCTTCAAATTCTTGTGATACTATTACCTCAGACCCTAAGGGTTGACATTACAGGTGTGATCCATGACACCTAATTAACGTGTTAAGAAATAAGAAATATGTGTCATTATTATTTGGTCAACTAAAAATTTTAAAGGCTGTAGGAATGAGGGGGAAAATTTGCCACAGTGCCACAAGGTCAGAAAACTCATGACTATAAGTTTGTAAAACTCCATTATAAGTATGACTCTGGGTTGCACAGGAACAGACAAAATGAAGATAATTGTAACGGTCGGAGAACTGTCAATTCCTTTCCCTTGATACCCTTCCATATTCAATTATCTTTTGGTTTACAAAGGGCATGTTGTGAAGAAAATGTGATGAGGATGTTGACTTTAGCAGTGTGCCCACACCAATCCTGCTTAATGCCCTTATTCAGCTTGCTGTGCCTTTGACAGGTTCAGCTCAGGGGCTTGGACTAGCTCTCTCTGACTGAAAGAACTATACCAAGTTAGAAGAGGGAAGTTTATCTTAACAAGACCTGGGGCCACGGTGTGTAGGACTGAGTGGGCAGCTCTTCCTAAGCAGCTGGGTCTTTTGTATTGTAGGAATTGCTTCCCCTACAATGCCCTCTTGTGGCAAATCTGTGCTGTACAGACAAGTGTAGGTTAGAATGAGTGAGTCATCTCGCATATTACATGTCTGTCCTGGTGGTAGAGGTTCAAGTGCCTAAGGAAAAGTAGGAAGCCAAAACCAGTACCAGAAGCAGCTTCTGTCCATATACTGACCACCATGACAGGCAGTGGCACACAGCTTAATGAGGCTTTTCAAAGAGATATTCCAGATCTGGGGCCCGCAGTCTCTGCTCTTTGTTTTTGTTTTTGGTGAACTCTCGCAGCAGTTCCATGACTTCATTCTCAAATATTTCTGGAGCTGGTTTTGCTTCTGCAACAGAAGGGTGGGCAGAAAGAATTGTACCATGTCAATGCTCATATGAAAAACTTGGGAGCTACAAAGCTGTGTACAGTACTCATGCCTGTAGAGGCCCAGCACTTATGAAGCTAAGGTAAGATGATTGCTGCAAGTTCAAGACCAGCCTGGGTCACAGAGTGAGCTTCAGGCTAGCCTGGGCTAGAGTAAAACCCTATCTCCAAAAACAGAAACAGAGGCTGAAGATGGCTCATCCGGTACGCGTGCTTTTGCTCTTAAAGTGGACTTGAGATCACTTCCCAAACACCCATATCAGGCTGCTCACCGTTACCTGTGAGTCCAACTCCAAGAGATTCCATGGCCTCTTCTGGCCACCCACAGGCACCCATACATCAATAAAACTAAAAAAGTAAATTTTAAGGGCCAGCTCAAAGGCTCAATAAGTAGACACTTGCCACCAAGCATAATAACTTGAGTTCAAACCCTGGATCCCACATGGTAGAAGGAAAACCAATTCCCACAAGTTATCCTCTGACCTCTTTCTTACACACACACACACACACACACACACACACACACACACACACACACACAATTTTTAAAGGAAAAGTACATTTCTTTTTAAAATCTAAAAGCAAACAACAACAAAGAACAAGTTGAAACTCTGGCAATAGCCAAGAACCACAGATGGACAAATGGACCATGGGCCATCACCATTCTTCCTTCAAATACTCTAGGCTATACCAGGGTTGGTAGACTGTGTTGGCCTATACTTGTAACTAGTTTTGTTAGCATAGCTGCTCTCCTTTGCTTGCTATGCTCCAGGTTACTTTGTATTACAATGGCAGAGCTGAGGGATGACAACAGAGCTCATATGGCCTCATGACTAAAATATATACTATCTGATACTTAATGAACAAATCTGATGACCCTTTGCTTGTGCAATCTTGACTATACTGCTTTGCATTTAGTCTCAATTGTCTTCTGAGTACAGAGTAATTTCCCCCTTACCTTTGGTTTCAACATCCACAGTTATCACTTAGCTTGGTTCCTCCACAATTTGATAATATAAAGTGCAAAATTGGTAGAGCCAACAGCTATGACTCCATTCCATCTTGATGTAAGATCAGAGTTGAAACTAAACTCGTTTTCCTCAAGGCCAAATAACAGGATGGTGTGGTCAAGGGCATCGCTACTAAATGTTTTGCCACTCAAGACCAAATAAGAGGATGTTTGACTAAAGGTGTGGTTACTAGATTGAGAATTAATGGAGTAATTACACTTGATTGTTTCTTGTATCATGGTTAGGAAGTCTTTTACCCTCCCTTTTGCTTTAGGTATAAAAGGGCTATGAGAAATAAATTTGGAGCTGCTACAGTACTCATTGAGAGACTTCCCAACTCTATCTTCTGTCTTTTGTATCTTTCTTTTTGTCTCATTCACCTTTTCAGGCATGTACAACCGGTCGACTGGTCCCAACAAAATCCCAGAAATAATTCGTGAATTTTAAACTGTATGTTATTCTTAATAGGCCGATGAAACCTTATACTATCCTGCTCTGTCCACTTTGTATATGAATTATCCCTTGTCCTTTATATCTACACTGTATATGCTACCCATGCATTAGTCATTTAGACACCTTAGTTTTGAGAATATAATGAATGTTGAACTATTGCAGGCTTATGTTCAAGTGACCACATTCTTTGCTTTTGTTTGTTTTTGAGACAGGATCTCACTATACAGCTCTATCTTTCCTGGAACCTACTATGTAGACCAAGCTGGTCTTGAACTTGGAGATCCACCTGCCTCTGCCTCCTGAGTGCTGGGATTAAAGGCATAAACCACTATGTCTAGCTATGTAATCCTATTTTTTAATTCAATAACAGACCCAAAGCACAAGAGTAGTGATACAAAGAAAGTATTGGGGCACTGAAATGGGCAGACAGGTTAATTCTGGTACTGTGTGGCAGGTAACACTGCAGGGAATATGGGGGAAAGCATGGGCTATAAAGGGCTTGAGATCATCCAATTTAGGAATCCTCTGAGGATTTTATAATGAATTCCCTACAAATAAAGGGAGACAATAGTATTGTTTCCACTTTTATTCTTTTGTTTTGTGGTGCTGGAGACTGAACCCAGGTGGAGCCTCACAAATGCTCTTGTAAGTGTTCTGCCATTGAGCTCCATTTCCAGCCCTCCTATTCTAAGCTATAAAGCCCCAAAACAAAGCTCTGCTTCTTCTCTTTATCAGTTAGGGACCCTTGGGAGTAAGTGACAGAAATTAGCTATAGTAAACTTAAGCAAATGGGGATTTTTTTTTTTTTTTTAGAGAAATGAGAAGTCCATAGTATAAACATAAACTTGCCTAATGAGATGTGAATGGGCAGGCAAAGGGGCAATAAGACAAAAAACAAAAGTCCCAGTCTTTCCACACTAGAGATACTTGTTTAAGATGCCAATTATAGCAAAGCCATCCACCAGCAAAGCTTAGGTGACAAGCTCCAGAAAGCTAAATAAAATGCTAGGAGGAATCCCTTCAATCCAAGACAGATTCTGTCAACCCAGAGCCTGGCACCGAGTGAGTGATCTGGGGGTTTTGTTGTATTTTGGACTTGGGGGTTAAAATTTTTTTCTTAACATTTATTTTTATGTGTATTTTGCCTGCAGTTATATATGTGTACTATATGCATGACTGGTGCCAGCAAAGGCCAAAGAAGGCATCGGATCTTCAGGATTTGGAATTATAGCCATTTGTAAGCAATCATGTGAATGCTTAAAACCAAACCTAGATTTTTCTGTAAGAATAGCAAGTGCTCTTAATCATGAAGCCCTCTCCCCACTCCATTTTATTTTTAAAAATTGTGTGCATGTGTGTGCGTGCGATGTGTATGCGGGTAGGCACAGGCATACTAGAATATGACCATGGAAGTTGGTTCTCTCCTCTCACCTTGTTTCTATGCTGGATGTTCCAGGCTGGCTGCCCTCTAGCTTCCAGAGGATTTGCTGTAAGAGTGCTTCCATTACAGATATGTACTACTTGGATGTGGTGGTGTGAGCATGCAATTCTAGCATAAAAACAAATGGGTTTCTGTTGAGTTCAGGGCCAACCTGGTCTACACCAGACATGCCCTGATGGAGTCTGGTCTCAGAGTGGGAAGCCAGAAGGAGAGCACAGTCCGTGTGGTCAATGAACACGAAGCTCAACCAGGGTCCTCTCTTGGAAGGAACACAGGTAAATCTGTAACTGAGAGTGGGGAAATCAATCTTGTCTCTCACATGGGCCAGAAGAGTCACAGGAAAAAAAGAAGAAAGAAAAACAGACATGTAGGCCTGAGTGTGGGACAGTATCACTGATCAATCCTGCTTCTAAGAGCCAGGCCATAGGGGTTGCCTGAGACCAAGGTTGGACAAGGAAAAGAGAGAACTAGCAAGGCCAAGCGGAAGACACAGGAATCTAGCAGTGAAGGCCAGAGCATGCAAAAAGAATCCCCTTGAGGCCCAGAAATACAGGAAGGCTGAAGGCTGGGAATGATATAGAAACACTGAAAACATTCTTTAGAAACAATTGCTGCTCTGAGCACACCATTGCATGGTGCTGCTGAGGTCCTGAACATAAACAAAGCAAAATCATAACCCAGACTGAGCTTAACTGCCAAGCTCACAAACTTGATTCCCTACACTATCAGCCTATATGATGCCCGGCCCCTCACGACATAGACACTATGTACCTTGCTCTCCAATGTCTACCATTCAGTTAGACATGGGTGTGTTGGCATATACCTATAACCCTACTATTGGCAAAACTGAGGCAAAAAAATCAAGAATTTAAAACCAAAGCCAGGTGAGGTAGAGCTTGCCTTTAATCCCAGTACTGAAGGAAGAAGTGAGCAGATCTCTGTAGTTCCAGGACAGCCAGTGCTACACAGTGAGACCCTGTCTCAAAAGGGGAAAAAAAAAAAAAAAAAAAGGTTTTGAAGCCAGCCTAGGATACACAATGAGAATAATGAGAATCAATCTCAAAAAGCTAACAAAGGGCTCAGGAAATGCCCAGCAAGTAAAGCTCTTAGCATGTAAATATGAGGGCCCATGTTAGAATGTCCAGGACTCACATAAAGCCAACATGAAAGTGCACATATGTAATCCCAATGCTCCTCTAACAAGACAGGAGAATTCCTGGAAGCACCTAACAAACTAAACAAGGCCGTTTGCCATGCTTGAATTCCATTCCTGAAACCTATGTAAAGGTAAAAGAGAACTACCTTCACATTCAGACCTCCACACATGCACTGTAACACATACACACACATACACACACACACACACACACACACACACACACACAATCTCTCTTTCTCTCTCTAAATTTTTTTAAAGCTAACAACAAGACTATGATGCAGGGACTGAGGAATGGCTCAGCAGTTAAGAGTATGTACATACTGCTTTGAACTCAGAAGTCCTGAATTTGATTCCAGCCCCTAAGTCAGGTGGCTCATAACCACTTGTATTCCTGCACCAGAGATCCAATGCCTTTATTCCACTGACACACCTGCACTCACATGGGGCATAGACACACATACATACACATGATGAAAAATAAAATAAATCCAGAAGAGGGAAACTACAAGAAAGCAAGCAATAGGAACAGACTCAGGGATAGCTTGTGTCAGGACTCCCAGTAAGAATTTAAAATAATTATTACTAACATCAAAAGCTCCAGTGGAAAAGGCAGGCAAAGTATAAGAACAGATGAAGAATTCCAGCAGGGAGAAAGTCTAAATGTCATGTGGAAATGCTAAAAATAAGATCACAGCAGCAGCAATGAAAAATGACTTCAAGAGGCTCATCATGACATCTGACACAATTGAAGAATCAGTGAAAAGGAGGCCAAGAGACGCTGCCAAATACAAAGGACCCAAGCCGATTCACAAAGAGAGAAGCACATACAGCAGATACCAAGAACTGTGGACACAAGTTTTCAAAGTGCAACCAGAACTGCAAAAGGAAAAGAGAGCATG